ATGGAATTGAATGGAAATTTGAAACATACACCTGTACAAATGAATGCTGAACAGGTTAATGATATAGAAAAAATAAATGATTTTTAATTAGTATCTAACTAAATTTTTCCTTTTTTTTTTAATATAATTAATTTTGAATAGTATTATTAATATCAACTAAATGATATTTTTGACAAAATAATACCAAATTCATTCATTTATTAATTAATTACCTTATTATCTTAGTTCCGCTAATTAGATTATCGATTGATATTGAATTGATTTTGATATGACAATTTTTTCAGCTTATTTTAAAGCATAATAGCTTTATCTTTTTTAATCATTTATGTTATGATAAGCTATTTAGACCTGAGATTTTGATAAAAACATTGATCCAATTTTTCCAGTATTTCATTTCCTTCCTCTTATTGATTTCTTGTTATATTACTAAAAGATATATGATATATTATTGATTAGCTCGAATCTCAAATTTCATCGATTCAATTTCTTGTATAATTTAAGCGACATGAAGCAATGTCACGTATGTTAACTGGTGGAAGTAGTAGTGATGATACATTAAAAAGGACAAGAGCAAAAATTGTCACAGAACGATCACCTGCTGATATTATTTCAAGTCAAAGAGAAAGTAAATTTTTAATTTGACAAATATGATTCATTAATTTTACAATAACAAATATTGATTTCTTAATGATTTAAAACTCATTCCTCATATCAATGTTTAAGAATAGCAAATATCGATTAGTTGAAAAGATAATTGAATTGCATTGAATCAATATTTATATATATATAATTAAATACAATTCTAATTCCGAGTATTTACAGTGTTGAGATCAGTTGGACGATTGGTTGATTCGGGAAGTCCTGGACGAGAGTCACCGGATGATGAAATTCTTGATGGCCTTGTAAAAGCAGCTACAATTCAAACTGAACCACGTGATCATCGTCGTAAAGCTAGGCAATTTAATCGAAAATCTTGTAAGTTCTTTTTTTTCCTTTTTTTTTTCATCATTTTATCTCCAATAGGTTTTAATTCAAATTAAAAAAAGATCTATTTTAATTTAATTAAAATGAAAAAAAACTAAAAATAAAGTTTGCATTCTATTTTATTGGTATAGAAGAAAATTTAAACATAAAAATATTATGAAATTATTTAATTCCCAAATTATTATATAAAAATTTTCTTTTTAATTCCAATATAATTTAAAGTAATTAATTACTTTTTATTATTTCATTTTCATTACTTATTTTAGTGAGACGTACTCGAACATTAAAACTTGTTGATGATCAATCAAATAGCACAATTACCACTGTTTGAAATTCTATCTTCAAATTTTACTTCACTATTGTTAAAACATTATTGTTTCTGTTTACAAATAATTTCTTCTTTTGCTAGAAAAAAAAAAAGAAGAAAATATTACTAAAGCTTATCATCCATTATCATTATCATTATCATTATCATCATTTAATGTTTTTAAATAGCAGCAATAATGAATAATAACATTTGTCAATAATTTCATTCTTTTTTTCTTTTTTTTTTTGTTAGGAAAAATATTCATTGATTTGGTGAAAGAATTTTTAAAAATTAAATTTAACAAATATACATGAAAAAAGAAAGATTAATTATTACTTAATTTTATTTCTAATTTATACAAATATTTTTTCATTCTATTAAAAGGTTTACTTTTTTTTTTTTTGGCAAATTAATTCATTGTCATAATGTATACTTTAAAAAATTTGAAAAAAAAAAAAAAAAACGAAAAATACTTTTTCCGGTAAATGAAATTTTT